TATCAGTTGGACATTCCGGTTTTTATACTGCTTTTTTTAATTCACTAACGCTCTAAAAATGAATATTTCAGCCGCAGTAAAGAATCAACGTTGGCGGATTTTGGTTCTTGACATCCTTTACGATCGGTTACGATGCCTAGAGTACGGAGACCTGTACGATTTCGTCAACTTAGTGAGTTTGATAGGGGCCGTATAGTGGGACTTCGGGAAGCTGGACTTTCTTTTCGGGCAATTGCAGTTAGAGTCCAAAGAAGTGTAGATACTGTGGTTAGGTGTTGTCAGGCATGGCTTCGAGAAGGCCGTACGCAAAGAGCAAGGGGCACCGGACGCCGCCGTAGAACAACAGACCGTGAAGATCGCCGCCTAAGATTATTGGCCTTAAGGGACCGTTTCTCCACTACCAGGTCCATTGCAAATGGATGGTTTGCAGAACACGGAAGACCTATTGGCATGCGAAGTGTTTACCGACGAATGAGAAGTTTTGGCTTGTTTTCATACCGGCCACACTGGTTCCTCCCTTTAACTCGAGAACACCGACGTAATCGCCTTGAGTGGTGCAGACAACGGTCACTCTGGGATCAGGAATGGAACAGTATTGTCTTTAGTGACGAGTCTCGATTTTGTTTAGGCATGCACGATGGTCGTGCCAGGGTTAGAAGGCGACGTGGTGAAAGGAGGAATCCACAGTTTTTTGTTGAAAGACATGTTCATCACACTGTTGGAGTTATGTTTTGTTTTGCTATAGCTTATGGTTCCAGGTCACCTTTAATCTTCATCAGAGGTAACATGAACGCGCAGCGTTATATCCACGAAGTTCTAGAACCCCATCTTTTACCCTATCTTGACACCCTGGCAGATCTAACTTTCCAACAAGATAATGCCCGACCACATGTTGCAAGAGTCACAATAGACTTCTTTCAACATAATGATGTCACATTGTTACCATGGCCGCCAAGATCTCCCGACTTATCCCCAATTGAGCACGTGTGGGATATGATGGGTAGGAGATTGCTCAATTTGCAATGTCCTCCTCAGACTCTAGAAGCACTTCGAGAGGAGTTGGTGGTTGCCTGGAATGAGATACCACAGGAGGACATTGACCACCTGATCAGAAGCATGCCTAGGCGCGTTGGAGAATGCGTAGCACATCAGGGTGCATCCACACATTATTAAAGGTCAAAGGGCTTTAAAGCAGTGCAATCATTTAGTATACATTAGTTTACCTTGCCGATATCAACCGCTAACTATTCCGGAAGATAAATGTTATTTTTATGCAAAAAATGATGGGTTACGTTTTTTCTTCTAAACAAATTCAAGCATTTCGTATTTGTGAGTAATACTAATATTTTAGGGCATTTGTTCAATTACTCATAAATACGAAATGTTTGAATTTGTTTAGAAGAAAAAAACATAACCTTCGTTTTTCGCATAAAAATAACATTTATCTTTCGGAATGGTTTGTGATTTATATTAGCAAGGTAGACCCGTATATTTTGCTACTAAATGCTCTTTGAATGAACCGTGTATGTTGCTCAATAAACTAGTGGTGATGGCCGGAAAACCGGTGTTTTGGGATAAGCAAATAGAAATTACTTTACCAATATAATCCAATTTTGTTGTTGTTATTTAGAAGTATGAATCGTACGGATTTGAAGAATTTCAAGTAGTTGAGTGAAATTATCGTCGCATTACCAACAAGTGCCAAAACCCGGTTTTCCAACAAAAATTGGTGTACCCATTTTTCGCGACGAGAATATTGCGTCTAGCCATAGCAAACAGATTAAATTGCCGTGCTTGGGGTCTCGTGGCTCCATAAATCAAAGTTGCGGCTCTAATGCACTGTTATAAAAGCACTATTTGCATACGTTGCATACTTAAGTGCCTTAAAGAAGACAAAGTGCCATTACGACTACGTCACAGAAGGAGCTTAGATAGTTTAACTTTTTCACGGGGAAAACCGGAGAAGCCGTATCCAGGAAGTGCAAAGTTTTTTGGTACGATAGCTCGCCTGTTCATTATTCTGTAGCCATTTGAATAATATTAAAAAGTAGAACGAAAACTAAAGGGTTGTTGATTACATTACATTTAACGGACGATCCTTTGAGCAATTTTAAGAAAAAAGGTTTATATCAACATAGGTCTGCAGATTCTTTGTTCTCAAGATACAGGGTATTAAAATTTAAAAAAAAAGGTTTTTCGTAAATTCATCAATTTTAACTAATTAAGTTATTTGGCGGTAGTATACAGGGTGTTTCAGTTTATTGTTGCATAACTTTAAGATTCGATAGAACTTTTAAAATGAATGCATAAAGTCTATATAAACATGGGTCGAAAAATGCGTGGTTTCCGAAATACAGGGTGTTTAAATTTACTTTCTAAAATAGTTTTTGTTAAATATTTCGAACAATATTTGATGTATAACAGTGAAAATTGGTATACAAGGGTTTTTTGGTACGACAAAACGAACCATGGGCATAGTTTTACTGTAGCCGCTAGAGGGCGCTCTCTACTGTACCTGTAGTGTATTAAAATGACCGAAAATTGTTTCTTGGTGCAATTTTTTGCTTTTTGAATAAAAAAACTGATTATTCGCACTTTTGAACATAAAAAAGCTCTCCTGTGAGTTTTCGTTATAGTTAGCCGTTTTTGAGATATTTCGATTTTTAAGGTTCGATGCATTTTTAATTATTTATGGGAAAATATTTTTTTTTTACATTTTCGATTTGGGCATTACAAGTAATTAAGATGATCGTTTAGATTGTGTTTTTAAACACAGCAATAATTCCTAACTCCAAATAAACACAAAAAAAAGAATATTAATTTGTTTAATTTTCCAATATTATTTTTAACAAATTAAATTAATTATTTACAACTAAAATGCTATTGGATAGTTAGGACAAACATACAAAATCTAAAGTAGTTGCTCGAAATGTAAACCCAATTGTTCAATACACAATTCACATCATCACAATTCACATGATCGAACGTGGTATAGCATTATTCAAATAAGGCCTTATTTCATCACATGCATTCCTGATTCTGTCTATTAGCATATCTCTTGTGGTTACGGGAGTCTGGTACACTTTTTCTTTTAGAAATCCCCACACAAAGAAATCTAATGGATTTAGGTCAGGGGATCGTGTAGGCTAGGCGACTGGTCCTCCACGGCCGATCCATCTTTCTGGATAATTTTCGTACAGCCAGTTTCTAACTATTCTCGAATAATGAGCTGGACAACCATCAAGCTGGAACCAGGCCAATCTTCTTAAATCTAACATAACATCATCCCACATATTTGCATGTTCAGCCTTTAAAAATTCCAAGAAGGTCGCAGCATTTAACCTTGCAGGCAAAAGCTAGGGTAGAAATAGTCGATTACGGTAGATACCAATCCACACGTTCACACTAAATTCATGCTGAAAATTTCTTTCCCGAACTGCATGCGGATTTTCATGGGACCAAATATGTTGATTATGAAAATTTACCACTCCATGTCTAGTAAAGCATGACTAATCGGTCCATAAAACGTTACTTAAAAACTCCCTATTATTATCAGTTCTATCAAGAATCCACTGACAAAATGTGATTCTTCGTTCTCCGTCCCCTGGCTGTAGTCCTTGTACAGGTTGCAAATGGTAAGGACGTCATTTCTAAGAACACGGTGAACATGGCGTGCTGAAATTCCCAAGGCACCAGAAACTCTCCTAACACTTGTGGTCGGATCTCTATTAAACTCACGCAGAATCATACGGGTAAATCTGCGCTGACGAACATTTCTGTTTTGATCCCTTTGGAGATTTTTGAAACCATTTTCAATGATTTGGCGATGTACTCTTACAAATACTGAGCGAGTTGGATGTCGTCTGGTTGGAAATCTTCGTGCTTATTCTCTGGCTGCTTCTGCTGCGTTTCCAGCCACTCACAAAATGAATATCCGCTAACTCTTGATTGGAGAATAAAAATGGCATTTTTATAAAACTTACAAAAAAAAATAGGTGAAAGAAACTAAATTTCGTGCATTCACAATTGCAAAAAAACGTTTCAGGTTTTAACAGACAACAAAACTAACTGTCAACTAATTGACGTTTAACCTTATTCTGCTTTCAATTTCAAAAATATTTGCAGGCTAAAAATTATCGAGATTCTGACTTTTTAACGTTATTGTATCATAAATAATTAAAAATGCATCGAACCTTAAAAATCAAAATATCTAAAAAACGGCTAACTATAACGAAAATTCACAAGAGAGCTTTTTTATGTTGAAAAGTGCGAAGATTCAGATTTTTATTATATTTTGTATTAAGCAAACAGGAATACAACTTTTTTGTGTCCTAATTTTTTTCGTACCTTGCTCAGTTTTCGAGAAAAAAAATCCACTTAATTGGAATATGGGCAAAAGTTTCCGTTGGAGATTATTACTTTTTTATAATTTTTGATTACTAACTATATAAATAACAAATACTAAATTAACATCGAGACTAACAATTACCACTAAATTAAGTGTTGGAAATGACCACCTTCGGCTTACAACCGTCTAGCCGCCTCACTGAATTAAGCACGCTCCTGAAAACTCCTAGTATTTTCATTATGTCACATGAGTTGATAATTTTATTCCGTAAGTCCTCTTCACTCTCAATAGAAGTTTTGTATACCAACGCTTCAAGGTGTCCCCGGATAAAATAATCGATTCATATCGGCCAACCAGGGGGCCATATGATGGAGTTGCTCTCCCAGTCCAGCGATTATGGTAAAAATTGCCGCGCCACTACAATAAACTGTAAACCTCACATCTTTCTTGTACAACATTTTTGTCTAGGAAAGTATTATTTAGATATTTTGATATGACCATACTTTTTGAACGCCCTGTATATTCTCGCGGATATAAACGTGCTTGCAACCTTCCTTGGGTTCGGTTAGTGAGTGTAAACATTTTTATGTCTATCGGCCTGCCTACCACGCATTAGAAGTATCTGAAATGTCGACGAAACTTGTTTACTTACCATCCAAAAAAGGGTTTCGTTGGCAAAATTCGCATATGTATCTATCGTTGAAAGTACGCTGAATATAAGACACACGAGCACCAACATAAATCTGAAACAAAGAAGAATTTTCAGCAAGTATCTTCATCCAGGAGCTTTGATTACTAGCTTGATAGCAATGGATAATACAAATAATAAAATTCTAAATATCAAACCGTTTTATGTGGCATCCATTTATGCAAAGGAAAGGCGAATATACAGGGTATTCCTTAATGATATGCGAATATTTGGGGGTGTGAATCTAAATGAAGAATTTATGTCAGTTTGCTTCATAAACTATGGGCCAAAAATGTTTCCTTGCAAGTTAAAGCTAAAAATTATTTTTGCATTGAAAAATATGCAAATTTATTAACTTTCACTACGTACTAAATATCAGTGAAATATCTGAAGCGGTTCTGAAAATATTAATTAATTTCCATTTTTTTTCTAAAACTTCAACACCCCGAGCTTTTGCAAGGAAAGATTTTTGGACCATAGTTTATGAAGCAAACTGACATTAATTTTTCATGTAGATTCACACCCTTAAATGGCTATGCATTTTTAGCGATTTGTTAGTAATTTTTCTAAACGAACCTCATGAATCCAGTTTTTTTTATCATTTTACTATATGGTCTCATCCATCTTCTTCTAAGAACAATTCTGTAACAATCTCGCCGACTTACTCCTGATGATGACGGCATAGACCAACGAAAGCTTGAGTTTTAAAGTCGAAAGAGTGTACTTTGCAACAAATTTTTTGCTGAGATCCCAAAGATATATAAAATAAAAGTTTCAAGTTGGAAAATAGATTGAAATAACTGAAGTATCAGCGCCCATCTCTAAGCTCCAGACTACCTCTGATCCCTGAGGAGATAGGTAATCACGTCTAGCTTCCATTAAGAAATGTTTCAGAACAGCTGCAGCTCGTCGGCGTGGAAACGTGGTTGCATTCAAGAGAACAAGGCACATAATGTACCTGGCCCTTTCTCCTTTAACACGAAATTACACTAACGAGCACGTGATGTGCTTTCTGCTGTAACAAAATTTCGTTTCTTAGGGTGCTCTGGAAATTCATTTACGAAACAACTGCTTTCTGAAGTGAAAGAAATAAGTAACTATAAGAAAATCTGCAGAAGACAAAATATGTTTCTTCGACTTGGACGCACTGCCTTGCTAAGAACAAAGCTGAACCTTAAGTTCCATGGTTTTGTTGTGCCACAGAAACTTAAAGCTTAGGAGGAACTTATGGTTTGTTTATACAACTTTTTAATAGTCAAAAGCATAAGCGTAATCATAGAGCATGCTTATTCAACTACCTTAATCATAGTCATAAGCAGCTGTCTTTTTTTATTTTAACAAGAGAGAGAGCATTCAGAAGATTCACTTAAAGGACTTGACCTTACTGTTTTTGAACTTAATGTAGAAAAACAATAAAGAAAAACTCAGTACATAAAGTTCTAAATGATTTATTGAGGAGTTTAACAATAAGCAAAATAATAATAATATTGCAGAAAGATCGGTCCCCCATTTGGCGAGGAAAAACATTGCACGGGATTAGGCTTCAAACTGATGCTGCATCCAGCGTATTCTCCAGATCTGGCCCCGCGCGGCTTCTTTTCTACGTTTGCTGTAAGTTCTCTTTAGACTGTAAAATAGCTCATTCCTTTTTTGATGTAGTGTCTTCCCAAGTATGTTCCGTGTGCGAACTTAACCCGACAGTGGAGTTCCTAGGGGCATCGAGGTTCTGAATGTCGGTAACATGCCCTCTTTCAGCAATAGTTAGCTCAGGACATTAGGGACTGGAACGTGTCTCCAACACCTCTTTATCGTATCACAGGTATATACTGTTCAAGACTGATGGAGAGATTCCAGATAAATATGCTCGGAATCCTAGACTTACTAGATGGGGGTCCTTTAGGGCAGAGCTTGACAGTAAGCTTGGGGCGGTCAAATACAAACTTTGTAGGGGCTCTGACATAGAAGCGGCCGTCTAGTCTCTGAGCCGGGACTTGACGGCATCATATGAGGAAGACGGCCCGTTACGCAAAGCTCAAGGTAAGGGCAAGGCAACCTTCTAGTCCAAAAAATTAGAGGACAGACAACGAGCGGTGCACGAACTTCTTAGCAGAGTTAAGCACAGGAGAAGTTCTCCCGTATGGGAAGACTACAAAAAGGCATTGCAGGAGTACAAAAAGGAGATTAGAAGGGCCTCCAGAGAATCCTGGAGGAACTTCTGTCAGTCCATAAATGAAATTCCTGCTACTGCGAGAATACACAGGGTCCTATGCAAAGACATTAAAGCAAGATTGGGATCTCTGCATGATGATCCCTCGGGGGGAATACTACTTCTGAGGAAGGTACTCTGAGGCTTCTGATGGACACGTACTTCCACGGTTCTACAGTAGCGCGATCAATCACAGAGTGCATGCAGCCGCGCAGGCCCTCAGGGGAGGACTGGCGCACGGCAAGGGAGACTCTTTCATCTTTTGTGCTTAAGACACTGGAAAGGATAGTTGATAGATACTTAAGGGATGGCCCGCTTGAAAGGTATGTCATTCATGCAAACAAGTTTGCATACCAAGCTGGGAAATCGACTGATCTGGCCTTACACAATCTGGCCGGTAGGCTGGAGAAGACTCTAGATCAGCGAAAAGTGGCACTCGTGGTCTTTTTGGACATTGAAGGTGAATTTAATTGCACCACAACCGACTATATCAGACATGCCTATCGACATAAATCTATTGTGGAGTATCCAACGAGGGAGGAGTGGGACGCCGGAGTGGGCGGGCAGGTCTGGTACACGGACGGCTCGGTCACCGAAGACGGCTTAGGTGCTGGGGTCTCTGGGCCTAGAACCAGGCTATCTCTGCCTCTCGGTGGATACACCACTATTTTCCAGGCGGAAATCTTTGCGATTCTGGCTTGTGTATCTCACATTCTGGAGGAGGGTGGGTCTAGGAGAAGAATAACAAACTTATCCGACAGCCAGGCTGCAATGAAAGCACTAAGTGCCTGTAAGATTACTTCGAGTCTTGTATTGAAATGTTGGGAGGCTCTGGACTGCCTCGCAGCGAGGCATCCGGTATCGCTAATGTGGGTACCGGGGCACGCTGGGATAAGGGGCAATGAGACGGCGGACACTGTGGCGAAGACAGGATCAGCCAGCAAGCTCGTTGGTCCTGAGCCAGCTCTAGGAGTGACCGCGCATAGAGCTAGGAGGAAAATGGAGACGTGGGTTGCAAGACAACACTCTCAGAAATGGAGAAGTATCTCCAGACATCTCCGCCAGGCACGGGTACTCATTGAAGGGCCCAGTGCTAAGGATGGACGTTTCTGCCTATCTCTGGATGGAGCCAACCTAAGGTTGCTGGTGGGACTGTTGTTAGGCCATAACACGTTAAGGCGCCACCTGCACGTGATGGGGGTGGCTGAGGATCCCTTGTGTGAACGCTGCGGGGTAGAGGAAGAGACCTCGGCGCACGTTTTGTGTCGCTGTGAAGCCCTGAGCTACTATAGGCAGACTATACTGGGGTCCATTACTTTTCGCTAAAAGGGCGAGGCTTGTGATCTAAGGATTGTAGAGGTGGATAAGGGCCGGCTTAAGCGGCCTATGCACTGCATAATATGATTTGAACACTTTTCCATTATCCTTATCGGGACCGCCAGGATTGATAAATTCTTTTATAGATCCTCTGTAGGGGAGTAATAGAGATAGAGCTAGCGCGCGATCTGCGCATGCGTACTCGGACTTACTCAGATACTTTTCTAGGTAGTGCATTCTCACCTTGTTCATTGCGTACTTATTTTCTTATGCTCTTATTGGCCAGCCCTCGTAATCTTTTATTTTAAGCAGTAAGGTAGAAAATAACCTGCGATAAGCAAAAATCTGTGGCACGGCGAATGCATCCAACACGTGAGAATATACCATCAATCTATGTTGAAATTTGTGTGATTTGGTGTGTGTAGATGATCCCCAGCCCAACCCACCGACCATCAAATCATTTAATCAACGTTCAACGGGCGTCCATTAACGAATTACGTTTTAGTCTAATTAGTGATAAAAGCTACCGTCGCGTCGGTCGGCTTGCCGACCGGGTAAGTATCACAGAAAAATGCTCCCAGCACAACTCACGGACTAAACAGATGAATTACAAATATTTAATTATACTAAGTGACATATAAATCCGAACACCCAGTTTAAATGGTTTTATTTTAATAAAATTTGACCTTTAATAATGGTCAATGTCCTCCTGTGGTATCTCATTCCAGGCAACCACCAACTCCTCTCGAAGTGCTTCTAGAGTCTGAGGAGGACGTTGCAAATTGAGCAATCTCCTACCCATCATATCAAACACGTGCTCAATTGGGGATAAGTCGGGATATCTTGGTGGCCATGGTAACAATGTGACATCATTATGTTGAAAGAAGTCTATTGTGACTCTTGCAACATGTGGTCGGGCATTATCTTGTTGGAAAGTTGGATCTGCCAGGGTGTCAACATAGGGTAAAAGATGGGGTTCTAGAACTTCGTGGATATAACGCTGCGCGTTCATGTTACCTCTGATGAAGATTAAAGGTGACCTGGAACCATAAGCTATAGCACCCCAAACCATAACTCCAACAGTGTGATGAACATGTCTTTCAACAAAAAACTGTGGATTCCTCCTTTCACCACGTCGCCTTCTAACCCTGGCACGACCACCGTGCATGCCTAAACAAAATCGAGACTCGTCACTAAAGACAATACTGTTCCATTCCTGATCCCAGAGTGACCGTTGTCTGCACCACTCCAGGCGATTACGTCGGTGTTCTCGAGTTAAAGGGAGGACCCAGTGTGGCCGGTATGAAAACAAGCCAAAACTTCTCATTCGTCGGTGAACACTTCGCATGCCAATAGGTCTTCCGTGTTGTGCAAACCATTCATTTGCAATGGACCTGGTAGTGGAGAAACGGTCCCTTAAGGCCAATAATCTTAGGCGACGATCTTCACGGTATGTTGTTCTACGGCGGCGTCCAGTGCCCCTTGCTCTTTGCGTACGGCCTTGTCGAAGCCATGCCTGACAACACCTAACC